TTTTTTAAGTATGGTGTTATTTCTTTTTGCATTTTCTTATAGTATATTGCTGTATACCCATCTGGTCCTGGTGCCTTATTTGTTCTTAAATTCCTTATAGCTGTTTGTATTTCCATCTCTGATATCTCTCTATTTAATGCCTCTCTTTCTTTTTCTGAAATCTTTTGAATTTTTCTCTTGGCTAGATAATTCATGATCTTTTCATTTTTTATTTGCTCATCTTGGTATAACGTCTTATAATAGTTTTCAAAGTGTCTTCTTATTTCCCCTTCTTCAGTTATTATCTTTTCTTTTGTTCTTATTCTTGTTATAATTCTTGATTCTCTCTTCTTTCTTAGTCTTCTTGCAAGCCAGATCCCTGGCTTGTTGGCATTTTGGAAATAGTCAGCCTTTATATATCTCAAATCTTTTGCTTTCTCCTCTAGCTCTAAATACTTTTTCTCTTTCTTCAATTTTATGATATTTTCTAATGTTTTCTTGTTTTTTGGATTCTTTTTCAGCTTCTTTTCTTCCGTCTCTATTTTGTCTATTATCTCCTTCTGTTTTTGTAGTTTTTCCCTCTTTTTTCTTGCTTTCTGTTGTATAAAAAATCCGCGCATGACAGCTTTACTTGCTTCCCATAAAGTAAATATTCTTGTGTCTTCTGTATCATTTTTTTCAAAATATTCCCTCAGTTTTTCTTTGCATTTCTCAATATCTTCTTCCTTTAATAATAAATTATCTTCTAATTTCCATCTCCAATCCTTTCTTCCTTCTCCAATTTTCATCTCCAATGGGCAATGATCTGAGTCTGTCCTAGCTAGGATTTTTATACTTTTTACCTTGGGTAGAAGAAAAGCCGAGGCCCATATCATATCTATTCTCGACCAGGACTTATGTCTGGCCGAGAAATACGTATAATCCCTTCCCTCCTCATTGTTGTGTCTCCAGACGTCTTTCATATTCATATCTTGTAGTAAATTTAATAGAGTTTTTGGGATGTTTCCTACTGTTTTCTTCTCTTTTTCAGTTTTTTTTGTATTCTGGACTCTGGTTGTTTTGTCTTTTTTCCCATCCAATACACAATTAAAGTCTCCTAAGATTATTATTTTGTCAAATTCTTGTTTTATTATATTTGCTTCTAAGACTTTAAGAAATTTTGATTTTGCCTCATTGGGCATATACACATTACAGACCAGTATTTTAGAGTTTTGCCAATTAATAAGGACCCCCAGCATTCTTCCCTCCGAGTCTTTAAAGGCTAGTTCTGATTTTATTTCCTCTTTTATATATGTTGCTACTCCCCGCTTTTTTTCTGATGCCGAAGCGTAATATACTTTGCCTAATTTTTTGTTTTCCAAATACGCTACATGTTTATGGGAGATGTGTGTTTCTTGTAAAGCAATTATCTGGCACTTTCTTTTTCTTAAATTATCAAAAACTTTATTCCTTTTATTTCCCGAATTCAAACCATTGATATTATTACAGTAAATTTTTAAAATAGAGTTCATGTTCAACAGTTACTTTCTTGTTGGTTTTCTGTCCCTCTTTCTTCTTCCTGTAGTTGTCTCGATTCTTCTTCTCTCTTTTCTTCTCCTATTTCTGTATTTCCCTGGTCATCTTCTATCATTGGTTCCTGTTCCTGTTCTTGAACTGTTTCTGTTGTCTTTCTCAGGTTTAACCTATAGTTTTTTGGATCAAGTTCTTCCTTTTGTGGTGATGTGGTGCGTTGCCTCTTTGTCTGTTTTCCTTCTTGTTGTCTTTCTTCTGGTCCATTCTCTCCCTCTTTCACTATACTTTCATAGAATTGTCTCGCCTTTTCCACCGTTTTGATCCAATATCTTTGTCCTTTGTAGGTCGTCATCAACCCTTCTTCCTTTTCCCAATGATACCTCATATTTTGTCTTTTCAATTCTTCTGTGAGGAAGTTGTATTTTCTTCTGTTACTTATTACTGGTCCTGGAAATTCCTTCAGTATCACCACTCTTCTATCCTTGTAA